CTGTTGTTGGTTGAAAGCCTATCTTTTACAAAAATGTTTATCTATAGTAATATTATAATGCTTGAACATAAACAATACACACAATATAATAAACAAAAGTTTATTGAGCGTCTGCTTTTGTATGAGAATGCATGGTAGATTGTATTTCCAGATACTAAGTCATAGATCGAAATCTGTCATTTGAAGATTCTTATTATAGCCAATCTGTTCCACATTGGAAATTTGACCTGTTCCACATTTGATATTCCTATCAACAAGGTTACTCTTCTGCAGACAAAAAAATTGTACATTGAAGTAGCAGTATAGTGTTTGAATTAGATAACACACTAAACAATATAATAATTAGTGTATTAGTAAAAATAAAGAAAATAAAGCTGCTAAAGTCGTGTTCAAAGAACAAAGGAAATGAAAAGTGAGGTGTTGACCAAAGCCTTTAGGGCTAACGAGAATGAGACATCAAGTGGGAAGCCCATCCAGTTCTACCTTTTTGAACTTTTCCTGTTGCGGCCAGGGTAATTAGGTAGGGATCAGAAGAACAGAGTGAGACAGGGAAATCCCACTTTACATGACGTTGGGCAAATTACTTAGCTCTATATGCCTCAGTTCTCTCATTGATAGATTGAGGATATTTATGTATCTTTACTATCAAACCATTTACAGAAATGAATGAGCTAACATATGCCAAGTTCTTTAAATTGTGTACAATTCAAGTACAAGCTAAGTAATAAATGTTTGTTATTATTAAAAGAGGAAAATTCTGTGAGTAATTTTATCATACTAAGTAAATTTACCTTTGGTTTGCCAATCATTTCCTTCATTTTCCAGATAACTCTTCAAAATGAATTCTATCTTCAAACATTAAAACCAAAACAACAACAAAACTCCCTCTCACCTCTTCTCAGCTTCTTTATTGCTTACCACAGTGTTAATATTACAAAAGTACTGTGAGAATTTCCTGTATTGTGGTTCCTGGAACACGTTAGAAGCTTGTGATTTTACTGCTTCTTATTCGTACTGTAGTACATGGCTCATCAATAGATAATTCCAAAACATCATTTAAATACACAATTTTTCATTCTATTTTTTTTTTTTGCTAAATTCCTTCATACTCAACTTTCAGAGTCTTTCAACTCCAGCTCAGCTCCAACATTTCAACGCTGTTCTTTCTAAACAAGTACACGTCGTGCCTTCTCTACATCGCTCTTGGAACATAACTTCTCATGGCAGGTATGTGTGATTTCAATCGCCAAATTAAAAATAACCAGAAAAGCTATTCTTGGATTGGCTAATTTTGGGGTAGTGCTTTAAGAGAAAAGGACATGATTAACAGTGGATATTTTTAGGCTTTACATGCATTAGCACTTTCCACATTCATTTTATTTTCCTGATTCTTCATTGTTTAACTTAGAAATGATTCCATGAAGCTTTTGTAACAGGTTTAAAGAATGGCTTCTGGCAGGGCTACCTCTAAATTCTGAACAAGAACTGACCTTTAACCTGGTTAAATTGTGAGCAACAGAATTCTAGTATAGAAATAGAAAGTGTCAAATATTAATGATGCAATGCTTCAAAGTTTTAAATTTACTATTTATGTTGTGACATCCAAATGTTACACAAATGAACAGTTTGACATATTGTACTGTTGTTAATGACAACATCATTATTTGAGAGTGTGGCAGTGTTAACACAGAATCTCCTAATGTTGAAATGTTTTAGGCGAAAAGCCTAGAAACAAGCAATTTTGAGTGTGAACAAATGTAATGTTCTTGGGGAAAAAAAGATTGTTTGTGTATCATAATTCAATGTACTGTGAGATGAACCCAGGCCTCCAAGGTATCACCCATCTGTTGATTGTAGAAGGAGTTATCACACAAAGTCCAGAATGTTCCTATGTCTTCTTTTCCCTATAATATCTCTATGAAGCCATGAGCAGCTAGACATTTATCAGAGCAAAACTGCAATGAGATGACGAGAGGACACACTCTAAGGTAGTGTTATTGTGACAATGGTAGACTAAGTTAAATGAAAGATTCTTGAGCTAGACACACTTTCATTTGATTTCTGACTTGGATACTTCCTTGCTTTGATATCTTGAGAAAATAACATTATTATTGGACCTTATGTTTTCTCATCTACCTAATGAGAATCATACTACCTAACTTACGATTTTGATGAGAGAAAAAAAATAAATGGCTATTCTGTAAGTTCATAAAACACAACTTGGTGCCTGTTAATATCTTCTTCCTCCAGATCTTTAAACTTCTCTGTCAGTTTTAAACATACATGGTAAATTCACTTTATTGAGACAGAGCTGGTAGAGAAGAAAATGTTTGAATAATCTCCCTGAAGTATAAGATACATCACATAAAAATGTTGGTATTGGGTGAAGTCCTGATTGGAAAGTCTTCATTTTTCAGTGTTTTATTGGCAAGCTGACTCCGTTATCAAATGAAAGAATGTTTTGGATTCTCTCTAACTAGTTCCTGCTTTTAAGAACTCAGCTCCTGTGTTTGCTCTTTAAGTCATTACCCTGTCTGTCTTTCTTACAGTGTTTAAGGCCACTTTCTGGAGGCTGATTTCTGGGACCTTAGGGATAATATGCCTTTCGTTGATGGCTACACTGGGAATTTTACTAAAAAATTGTAAGTTCTTCTAAGTAAGTCTCCATAAAAATCAAAATTGTGATGACATCTTTTAATAATAAATGCTTCATCTTACTAATGTTAATATGTTGTTATTTCAGAAACCCATATCTAATTAAACAAATTTCTAATCATTTCTTACAGCTTTTACTAAACTGAATATTGAGTCAGCATTTACTCCAGGACCCAACATAGAACTCCAGAAAGGTAGGTCAAATTTTTTGGAAAACTTAGCATTGGTAAAGGATGAAACAAGTAGTTTCTTGTTTCTCACACAGAGAAGCATGATAGAATATTATACTTAGTAATAGAAATTTGTCTGCCAGTGTGGGATAGTCTCATTTTGCTGTTCTCTAATGTAAACAGGATTAAATGACATTGAATGTGCATCATTTATACATTTAACTAATCAGGGAAATGGTATCTGAAATGAAAAATATATGAGTGCTCATCATTAGGTTACAAAAAATAAACCACAGGAAATATTACAATTAATCCTCATTACCTGCCTGAATTTGCTTATAACCTATACTTTTGCATCTCATTACTTTTCCCTCTTGATTCTTAAATGATGCAGAATATAGTGCACAGATTTCTAAACCTTACTTATCCAATGGAAGCCAGCTCAAAGTCCAATTTTCTTTCTTTCTTCTATTTTTAGAGACTGAGTTTTGCTCTTGTCTCCCAGGTTGGAGTGCAGTGGCGCGATCTCAGCTCACTGCCACTTCCTCCTCCTGGGTTCAAGAGATTCTCCTGCCTCAGCCTCCCACATAGGTGGAACTACAAGCACCCACCACCATGCCTGGCTAGTTTTTGTATTTTTAGTAGAGAGAGGGTTTCGTCATGTTGGCCATGCTGGTCTTGAACTCCTGACCTTAGGTGATCCACCCGCCCAGCCTCCCAAAGTGCTGGGACTAAGGGCATGAACCACTCTGCCCGGCAGAGCCACAGCACCCAGCCCAGATTTTCTAAATATATTTTTTTCCAAATGCACCCCAAGTTGTCTCACCATCTTCTGTGATTATATAGTGCTTCATTTACAGTGTAACATCTTGGCCGGGCACAGTGGCTCATGCCTGTAATCCAAGCACTTTGGAAGGCTGGAGGTAGGCATATTACTTGAGGTCAGAAGTTTGAAAACAGACTGGCCAACATAGTGAAACCTCATCTCTACTAAAAATACAAAAATTAGCCAGGCATGGTGGTGCACACCTGTAGTCTCTGTTACTTAGGAAGCTGAGGCATGGAGAGTTGCTTGAACCTGGGAGGCAGAGGTTGCAGTGAGCTGAGATGGCGCCACTGCACTCCAGCCTGGGCAACACAGCAAGACTCTGTCTCAAAAATAAGTAAATAAATAAATAAGTAAATAAATAAATAAATGGTGGAACATCTTCAGCACCATTTATTTATACGGCAAAGATTTGAGTGCCTATGCTATGTCATGCTTTTTATTACTGTGGATAACAAATGTTGAAAACACTATTATTGATAAACTATATAATTAAGACTCAAGATAATTGATTCATTTATATTCCCTTTCAAATATACCAAAATTCTTCAAATGAACCAAAATCCCACCCCGCCACCTTTTTTTTTTTTTGAGACAGAGTTTCGCTCTAGTTACGTAGGCTGGAGTGCAGTGGTGCAATCTCTCAGCTCACCACAATCTCCACCTCCTGGCTTCCAGCGATTCTCCTACCTCAGCCTCCCGAGTAGCTAGGATTACAGACATGTGCCACCACACTCAGCTGACTTTTTTTTTTTTTTGTATTTTTAGTAGGGACAGGGTTTCTCCATGTTGGTCAGGCTGGTCTTGAACTCCCGACCTCAAGTGATCTGCCCACCTCAGCTTCCCAAAGTTCTGGAATTACAGGTGTGAGCCACCACTCCTGACCAGTGCCATATTCTTTTCTGACTCAGAAAACATGCTAAAATGTTTTCCTTCTTTCAGTCTCTTTCATCTAGTTAACTTCTATTTATGCTACAGTACTTAGTTTTGAGTGACTTCCTCAAAAAGGTTCTTCTAACTGCCCCTCATCTTACACTCTGCTACATGCTGTTTTAAAATACTTAATTGTTTTTGTGTACTTACCTAAATCATCGTTAAGTATCGTTAATAAATTATTGAAAATTATATAATTCCGGTTCTATCTCTAGAATATAATCTCCATGAGGAAAAAACATCATGTTCATGTCTAATTAGTTCACATTAATAGCCCCTGAACTGTGGTATATACAGTAGATTCTGAAAGAATGTTAAAAGAATAAACAGCAAATAAATTTTGAATAATGAAATGGCATTGAAGAAAATGACATCTCCTATGTCATTAGTTATGTTTTATCTTTTCTGTCAGACTCTGACTGCTGTTCTTGCCAGGAAAAATGGATTGGTTATCGATGCAACTGTTACTTCATTTCCAGTGAATCTAAAACTTGGAATGAAAGTAGGCATCTCTGTGCTTCTCAGAAATCCAGTCTTCTTCAGCTTCAAAGCAGAGATGAACTGGCATGTACTAAGTCTGATTTTCTACATTTTCTTTGATCTAGAAAAATATACTATCTAAACAAGTTAAATACTTTAAGTAATTAATCAGATCATAAGTGGATGGTTATATTGGAATTGAGTTATTGATTCTGTGTACCTTAAAATAGTCATTGTAAAATCTATATTAAATTCCTTGATGATTTATGTCATAGGAATACAAATCAAGATAAGTGCCAAATAAAGTGAAAGAAACTTTTCAGGAAGAATTCAAAGTCATTATATTTACCCATTTTAGATAATAGGTCATTATATTTACCCATTTTACTTAAAGAACCAACTAAATGTGATTTTTAGCTCTTTTAATTAAATTTCTTTTTTAAAAATAATTTTATAGTTTTTGTCGTCCTTCTGGCATATAAGCTAGTATGGAAAATATGGTAAGAAAAATTGCTAAATTTTTTTCTTTTTTTTTTTTTTTT